TGAATAAATCAATAAAAAATGAGAATTAGCATCCAATTCTCAGAGTGTGTTTTAAAGGCCCTGAATCAAGATGCACTTATTAATATGTACTAGGAATTAGAAAAATTCCTTCCAGAATATTCACATAAAATTCTACTCAAAAGGACTGTTCTGGGTCTGTCTTTAAATTTTTTGTGTTCTGTGTCTTGATTGTGGTTGTAGTTACAAAACTGAATCTGTCTGTCAAAACTCATAACTACACACCTAAGAGGATGAATTTTATTCTGTTTGAATCTTTAAAGGGAAAAATACTGTATATTTTGTGTGCTATGATATTTACATAGCTGTTTAGAATGTTAGCAGCACATTACGATATTAATATAATATATGCTGTCATATGACACCTAATTGACTTTTGAGGAACAGTAAGGTAATCAAAGACATCTATAAAAAAAAAAGACATCTATGTTGTAATGGAAAGAGCATTTGATTTGAAGTCAGAAGACTGTGTCTTAAAGCCAAATTCTTGTGCTTACTAATTAGGAATAATTATTTTTATCACATTATATCATAGTAGATTATATTTATTAAATACAAAGTCCCAGGAACTGTTCTCAGGACTCTGTAAATTAACTTCATCCTCAATAACCCAATGAAGTCAATATTATTGTCCTCACTTAACATCTGAGAAAACTGAAGCACAAAAAGATGAGGCAACTCACTCAAGGTCACACAGCAACGCACTGATACGGTCATATCAGCCTCTCCCTGATGTTCAGTCGATCTGAATGTTGGCATAGCGTAGACTCGGGTTTAAGTGGCACATATTGGCCTTTCTCACATGTATTACCACCTCTGAGTTTCTATGGTCTTCATAACAGGGAGATGCTATTTTCTTCGCACCTCATAGGAAAGACTGCTAAAAGCGTCAAAGTGAGATAGTAATATGGAAATACAATTACTTAATATGAGTTGTGCTCAGTACTTGTCTTCATGGCCGAGGTTGAGGGTGATGTGCCCTTTTGTGGAAAGGAATGCTGATGCCTGCAGATATACCTCATCTGCTGACAGGAGGTCCTCCTGGGTTTACAGTGAGTTAGTCCTGGCCACACTCAGTACTGTACATCTGGGGAAAGACAGCAATAGCCTATTATCCAGTAAAGCCCTTTGGGTCTTTTTGCCTTTATAAAAAAAAAATAGGAAAGAGGAAAAGGAAAGATAGATGAAAAGGGAAAAAAGCTAGAAAGTTGAAAGTAAAATTGACTCAGTGAAGAAATACATTTGCCTGGGCCGAGAAGAACCATTCCAGCCTGTATCTTTTCCCCTCCACTCACCTCAGCCGGTACTGTCAGATTCCCAAAGTGCTGGCTACTGGATAGAGTCTTAGTGTAAAAGCTTTTCAAAAAAATAAAAAAAATCTCATGTCAGGGCACTTTGAAATTATTTTTCATTCCCAGAAATATATTCATGGAATATGTGGGGGTTTTTTTAAGAGGTTAAATTGTTCTACCTAATTCTACTTTAGGATTTTATACCTATTCATTTGTCTGTGAATAAATTACAATACTTCAACAGGATCACATGTCCATGCACTTAAGCTCTTGAGTCTATAAATACCCCAAATTATGTCCAAACAGATTCTTTACTATAGGTCAAACTTTACTAATCAGTACCTTCCGACAACATATGCATTAGTCTCCTTTTAATAAAGGCAGTCATTCCATTGAGTAAGACCCAGTGGCTTTAAGAAGTGTAGGTTAGGTGGAGACCTTAAAGAAGTGAAACTGATGGTAATAAAACATAGAACACTTTCTATATTTCCTCCTATTTCTCACAAATACACTCTCTTAAGGACGTACAACGCTTTTTAAAAGTTGGATAAGAAAGGAAGGTTTAAGAATGAAAAGGAAAGCATTTTAATCCATCTGGCTAATGAATATTAATTGTAATTCAAGACTAAAGCTGACATTAGTCATCCTTTCTGGTTGCCGAAAGTGATAATGATGACGATGATGATGGCGACAATGAGAACGATGGCAATAGCTTCTATTCTTTGTGTTTACCATGTGCAAATGTGTTTCTGGGTAAATAACTCTAGCAGTTACAATGAGTGAATACCTACATTCCAGGTGCTATAGCTCATAGATATCAGAGACACCAGTATGGGTGAGAGGGCTTTTCTTTGAGTTTTCTCCCAAGTGATAGTTCCGGGAAATACCATCTGTCCATACTGTGTCTTTGCTATCTCAAAGTTACTCACTTCTACCAATGCAGATGAAATAGACTCATCTCCTGCAGCCTATAAGTGATGGTGTCCCTTCTGTTTACATTACTGGTATGTAGTGATCATCTTGCCCCTTCTGATTATTTTTTTCTTAAAGTCTGCTGTGTCAGAAAATAAGATAGCCACCCCTTCTTGTTTGTGGGTCCTGTCTGATAGGGTATAATTTTCCATCCTTTCACTGTGAGTTTATAAACTTTCTTTTGGACAAGTTGTATTTCCTGTAGCCAGTGTACAGTTGCATTTTGTTTTGTTTTGTTTTGTTTTTTATCCAATCTGCAAGTATGCGTCTTTTACTTAGGGAGTTGAGATAATTGATATTGAGAGTTATTATTGTAAGGTGTTTATTAAATCTCATCATTGCATTGTTTTTCTAGTGCTGATTCCTTTTTTTTTTTTTTTTTTTTTTTAACTTCTCTCCCAGTTACATGTATTCTTTCTTTT